TAAAATGAACTTTTTTGATTTTAGCAAATGGCTGCAATGAAACAAAGTGAAAAATTTAAAGGAGTCTGAATACTTTCCGTACCCACTGTATTCAGGGTTACACTCACAAGTACAACATAAAGTCATCAAGTTTGAATGTTAGCAGTAATGATACGAATGAAATTAAATTTTAAAATATAAATTAAGTTTGTCTTACTTCTTATATCTTTTTAATATGGGCATCCCTGATCTCCCACAGAAGGGCTTAGTTACCATCAAATCAAACAGTTTAGTTTTTCTTGGCTTGCTTTGTGTATCCGAGACTTTAAACCGAATATCAAATAAAGTTAAAATCCCAATTGACAGTCTCCGTGCTGCCATCTCCACCCTCAGCAAGAGAAATGCTGAAGTTTGGTAGACTCTAGACAAACACTTGGTCTTTGGTGCCTGTTGTGGATTATCCTGACATGCCTGTCACTTCTCCAACTCCGGTCATCAGGTCCGTGACTACTGACAAAAGACCTCAGGCTGGCATGGTTCTGCAATACTCCACCTCGCAACTCCTCCAACTCAACAACTTCTCTGCTCCTCCGTGTATCTCAGCCATCAAAACGCTTGGGGTCCTCCGTCGGCCCCGGTACATCCGCGGAGCTTCCCGCAGAAAGTTTGTTTGCTCCTGGCCTGATCGCTCCACTCTTTCCATCCCCTCCCTCTGGTCAGCCGAGCGCACTATGAACACAGCACCCTACCCCTCCCATTCCGCACAGCTTCTCCAGTTATTCTTTTTTTATACCAAAGTGTTCTGTTTGTTCCGTTTGTCTTTGCCCTGTAAAGAGTCTTTGGGTATCTTGAAAAGCACTATAGAAAATCGATGTATTATTATTATTATTATTAATGATGGCAGCAAATAATCTTGCAGTTATTTATATTTGCTGTCTTACATTCATTTCCGAGCTATGTATTGCAATTACTTTATTAAAACTTAACGTGAAGATGTTGCCTTCTGTAATGGAAACGTCGGCACCTCAAATGCCCGACAGCCTACATGAGTAAGCTCCCTTGTGTCAGTGCTGGAAACACTGCTCATCAAACACAACTGGTACACCAGTAAGTCACACATACATTATAGTGTATCTGAACTTGGCCTGACGCTATATATGAGAGGAGTGTGTGTGTGTACCGGTGTTTCTGGGTGGACACAGGGCACAGTCCATGCCCCAGGCCTCTCCGTGCAGACAGCAGCACTCTGTGTATGTGGTCTTCCTGTTGGGACCCAGCGGCTGCGTGCACGCCATGGTTTCTGTCACCGTCTGCCAGCAGATACCCAGGTAGTCTATCTGCTCCGCCTCATGTTGCTCTGCGCACGCACGCACGCACGCACGCACGCACGCACGCACACGCACACACACACACACACACACACACACACACCATTACCACACAACTTATCGCTGTGTGTTATACCAGTGGTCCCCAACCACCGGGCCGCGGACCGGGCCGTGGATCATTTGGTACCGGGCTGCACAGAAAGAATAAATATTATATAATTTCCGTTTTATTGATTATCAGAGTCTGAAAGAAGTTTTATTTTGAAAGATGACCGGATTCTCTCCCAATTTCAGCCGCCTGTGGCACTTGTCTCGGTCACATGATACGTTACCTCAAAAATTAAGCCCGCAAACTAGCGAAAATGAGTAAATAACTTTTGGAGAGCTTCTTTGCAAAGGGGAAAGGCCCACTAAGTAGACAGAAGAAGAGCCTACAACTTCCAAGAAAAAGAAATATTCATTTAACAGACAACATCAGGAGTCTAATTAAATATCAGGAGTAATTATCACGCGCCAAGCCCGCTCTGCAGAATATGTGGCGACAGAGGAAGATTTTTGACAGACAGAATTTTGAGGTATGACACTGTTGATTCCTGATCATGAGGAAACAATATGATGTATCTCGAAATAATGTTATATTTGAAATTTTAGTTCAGAAAAACAGGCATTTAGATGTAAATATGAGCACTATCTGTCATCTTGAGATAATAAGTCAAGATTGTGTAATACGACACAATTATACATACATGATCTGTACAATTATCAGCGAGTGCAGCTAAAAGCTTCTGTAATATTTATTGCGTAAGTTGTCAGTATGTTTTAGTACTTTAGATTAGATCTACTATATTTCAAACAGTTGAACATGTTTGGGTTTTCTTGGTTTGTACTCTGGTAACGAATGGTTTACTGAAATTTTATTTTTTAGGGAGCGATGCACAGCTTGGGCATCAGGGCTAACCATGTACTCTATTATTGTATTAATAGAGTACTGTATTGTACTGTATTGTAGTTCCTTGATTGACAAGGAACTTGTTTTGGGGCCAAAGTTTGACATTCTTTTAGGCTGAAATATTGCAACGCTTTGACAAATTCAACATTTTTAGAATGTGTGCATGGGATAAACAGCCTTTCTTACCAGCCACCTCAGGAATGAAGACACAGCTGTTAATGTTGGGGTCCAACACCATTGGATGTGTGCAGAAACACATGTATGAGCCGTCTGTGTTCAAACACTGTCCACCGGCACACACCGACTCATCCAGACACTCATTGATGTCTGCAGGAAAGAAAAGCAATCAGAGACATTTAACGGAAAAATAACTTTCTTCATGTCAGCTGCACCTCCTCGTCCTACATTACCTTGGATCAATGCATTCACACACACAAGTATATAAACTATTAGCTGACAGTTCTGTTTGCTGCATATCACACTGACCTCTGCACTCCAGTTTGACAGCGTCGTAGTCCTGTCCCGTCTTGCAGTAACATTCGTAGCTGCCAACAGTATTCAAACAGAAGCCGCCTTTACAAACCTCTTTGCCAAACAGTGTACATTCATCTGCATCTGCAAGCAGACAGAGAGAAGGCAGGTCATGGCACATGTTGAGAGAGTTTATGTTGGCTTTAAAAGGGTTACAATGGAGAGCCAGGGGTAACTGTAATGTGGATTTATGTAGAAGTATAATGTCTTCATGTGGGGAAGCTGTGACATTAACATAAATTCTTTTAGCATTCATGTAGCATTATCATACAGACTCAGATAGCCAGAGGAGAACATTACATCATCATCCATCCTCATATCATTCTCTCTGAATCACCTGTCTGGAGGAAACACACACAACTTCTGTATTTCCTTGGAAACGATATCAGCACAAAGTCTGTTTAAGTTTATAATTACTAATATACAACATAAGGTCGTTGTGGTTTGACACAGAACATGTTTTAGTGTTTGCATTGAACGTTACATCAGGACAGATCGTGATGTCTTCAGGTCTTTCCCAAAGCTTCAACCAGGTAATAAGATGACTATTGATATTTAAGCTTTATCATTAGATGTGGTTGAGGATCAAAAAGCTGCAGAATGACTGAATATTAATCAACCCAATACAATGTAGTCTGAGTTGCTTGTCAGTGTACTCTATTCTTACATATAATTTACATTTTGTTTTAGAGAGTATTTCAGATTTGTGGATTTCTGGCTTCTCTTCATCGAGTGTATGCACGGAAAATGATTGCTGCACTCACCTAGCACAACCCAGTAGAGCCAAAAGAGGAATCCTATCCGTTATTTGAAGGAGTGAGATACAGTGGGTACGGAAAGTATTCAGACCCCTTTACATTTTTCACTCTTTGTTTCATTGCAGCCATTTGCTAAAATCAAAAAAGTTCAT